CCCCTCCACCTACAGTTTGAACGGAATGCGCAAAAAATTGTTGCCTCGAACACGTGTTGTCGCTAGCATGCTACAACAAGTACCAGTCAGGATATATTGAATGGCGCTATCAGCACGACCCCGCTATCCTCCCTTCTCAAGTGGAGGGTCTCGGTAGGATCTCTCCTACAGCGGCGGAATACGACCCCTCTTGTGAGATTCGCACAACGAAAATGTAAAATGCACAACGGTGTAGATTGTATAATGTTAGTGAAAGCTGGTACCAGTAAATGAAAGAGTTCGAGGAGCAGTTAAATAGGGGCCATTTTCTAGCCGAAATCTTTTTCCTGGCAATGCCACTCATCCCACCTCTCCCTCTTCCAACATTTCCTTTTCCCATGCTTTTTCTTTGCCAAAAATTGTAATGTCTTCAGATGAGTCGTTGTTTCGTGGATAACGCTGGGAAATTTGAAGACTACATCGCGTACTGCACAAACTATCATAGGTTAGTTTTGCTGGAAGCAGTAGGTACTTATGGCTCATTCAATGTAGTTTGGGGGTGAACTGGTTTCACCTAGAAAGTGAACTTGTCTGATTCAGAAGGAGATTGATTTAGAATGATTGCAACACTTGCGGAAATGCAACAACTCCCACACATGGCTGCTGCGTTGGCCCATCGTCAAACGGCACTCGGACACGCTCTCCCATTGAGTGCATATCTCCTCAAACCAGTTCAACGAATACTCAAGTATCACTTGTTCATAGAGGTATGTGTTTCGTTTAGGTGTGACTTACGTTCAAGTGGTGTGGTGTTTGCTAAGGCGAGCTTTGCTGAGTCCTCTCGAGGTACTCTGCTCCCCAAGGGACGAGATATAGGGAGCTTGTGACGGTTTGTCTCTTGGTTTGTACTCGATGTTGGGGTGGGGGGGGGGACAAAAGTGATCGCAATTTCTTATGAGGTTTTATGATGGGTCGGTAGAAGACAACTGCACATACGAACATCAGGCGTACTTCCAGCCTGCAAGGAGTTTTTCGCCAGAATTGTGCTTCCCCCAACCCCCCCCCCCCCCCCGCATTTCTTTCTCTAGACGGCACGCCCTCCGCCTTCCTACCTTCCACCTTTATTTCGTTTCCCAGGTTCCTGTTTCCAGTATTTTTCCAGTTATTTTCAAACAAATTTTGCAGTCGAAGCTGAGGAAGGTGGGAAGTGGGAGGAGTGCATATGTAGCGCATACTAAGCGGGAATCTTTCGGAGGAGAAAGTTTTCGGAGAAGGTTTTCTCGTGCACCTGGTTAAAATTTTCTCTGCTAGATTACGACCCCCCCCATTGGCGGATTTCCCAGGCGTGGACGAGTCCTATATGGACCGCCTGTAGATTGTTGCGACGGAAGATACGCCGGCTTCAGAAGTGGCACTGTTAGCACGTATGGTCTGAGGGTCCATTCAGCCCATACTAGACGTCCAAGGAAGCACTTACAAGGGAATGGTTTGAACTTCCCATGGAACTTTGAATGGAGACCTAGGCACATCGATAGAGTTTCGAATGCTGATTACGAATATGCAGATTAAAAGTGCTACGGGGACCTCCCAGACGAGTTCTGGGCGGTCAAAGTTTGCGAAATCCCGGTTTTGTCTCATAAGCGCTGCTGATCGCTCATTGGACAGATGTCACCGTGGCCTAGTGGTAGTGGTCTCGCTTCAAAGCCGTAATGTCGTGGGTTTGCATCCCGTTGGCGTGAAAACTTTTGCTTCGTCTCCTAAAAGAGCTTTCACTCTAATTTTCGAAATTGCTCCGAGTTTACGGCTCAGCAGAGCAAGTAGATCAAGTAGATCAAGTATTGACGTATTCGGTCAAGTATGGATTTGATAGCTATCTGTCCTCTCTGAACTCATTACCCATTCGACAAATCGAGGTTTTCGCCAGAATCACAATTTGGCCGGAAACTCGCTCCTGGGTGTATTTTGACCCCCTGAAAACGAATATCATATTCGTTCGGCGAGGAAACGACCGGTCAGTTGATGTTCAGTTGGTGATCACAGCAAAGTGAAAGGCTACAAGCGTCTTCTTGCCAAAAAGTAAATGATTTCGTTCAATGAAATGATAATCGTTTTCAGGGGGCAAAATACCTCCAGGAACGAGTTTTTGGCCAAATTGTGACTGTGGCCAAAACTTCGAATTGTCGGATGGGTAATGAGTTCAGAGAGGACAGATAGCGATCAAAAAAAAAAAAATCCATACTTGATCGATTATCAATACTTGATCTACTTGATCTACTTGCTCTGCTGAGCCGTAAACTCGGAGCAATTTCGAAAATTAGAGTGAAAGCTCTTTTAGGAGACGAAGCAAAAGTTTCCACGCCAACGGGATGCAAACCCACGACATTACGGCTTTGAAGCGAGACCACTACCACTAGGCCACGGTGACACTGTCCAATGAGCGATCAGCAGCGCTTATGAGACAAAACCGGGATTTCGCAAACTTTGACCGCCCAGAACTCGTCTGGGAGGTCCCCGTAGCACTTTTAATCTGCATATTCGTAATCAGCATTCGAAACTCTATCGATGTGCCTAGGTCTCCATTCAAAGTTCCATGGGAAGTTCAAACCATTCCCTTGTTAAGTCACGCAGATCGTCCAGGCTCAACCTCCACTTGGAGTTCCCTCGGAAGAAAAAGGACCCGTAAGACTGCCTTGTGGATAAACTCCATGAAAGCAGATTCTCCCGCGAAAGTCAACTCCACCTATGCCAGCTCCCTCCCATGTGCAAATGTAATGGCCTCAGTGGAGGCTAGGAGGCATGAAGATGAGACTCCGAGGCACAAGATACAGATCCAGTGGCACCTACTCGAAATTTCAGTGTGCTGAATAGCAGCCGCTCGAAAGCCATGCTCCAAGTGATGATCAGTGCGTTCTCTCGACACCAAACAAGACGTTGATCGAACGACGTAGCGCTTTATATAGCGCGCGCTTTGCATTTGATTTCTCAGCCTACCCGGAGCGTTGAAAATGCTAATTAATTAGAGTTCCGTGTCTTTTTGGGTCAAGGTACGTAGTCGGCCTAAAAACAGTCAGCAGAGGGAAGTCATGGTCAATCCTGGTAAAGTTGGAACAGAAGTTCTTCAAGGCTCTCGAAGAAGAAGAAAACCGAGAAACTTCAGAAACGAGAAAAAGAAAAAGGGAAACAAAGAAGTTGAAGGGAAAATGGAAGAGGGTTTTCTGGGAAAGGTGGTTTTGGAATCGTTTTCAAAAATTTCAGTCGCATAACATTCGCGATGCCTCGAAGATCTACCGTAAATGATTTACTTGTTTGTTTATTTTTGCTTGGAGTTCGAGGTTGCCTGTTGCAAGATTTTTCAACACTACTTTAGAGATCAAAAAATTTAGCCAGGAGAAACGAAAGTAAATCAACAAACAAAAAATCTATTGAAAATAAATTTTCCATGTTTCAGAACATGTTGAAGCATTTGCCGAGTACGTTGTCGGCCGACGACTACGCGCTGGTAAAACGGGCTCATGAGGTGATGACGTCACAAGCGTCAAGGATCAACGTGAAATGAACGTCCTGACGCGTTCAAGAGATGGTACCTGTCTGACCGAACATGCCGAAAAGGTGGAGCAGTTTTAAGGCGCGCCATTCAAAGTGGACTTCGATAATGGTGGTCAAGCGGTCAGAAAATGGCTCCAATGCGTTTCCAAAAGGGCATTTTAAAAACTAACAGTTGAAAGCAGTTCCGCGCTGATGGTATGGAGCAGCCATCGTCAAACAATTGCGTTTTCGATAAAACTCGTCCTCGCGCTCGCTCTCCAGCTGATTTTTGACCAAGGGAAGTACTGGACAGCGCAGTGTCTCTTACAATTATAATTACACTACTGTATAGTTCCAGTTAATAGAGAGAATCTCCGCTCGAAGAGCTTTTTGCTCTCCTCTACATTTGCTGCTTGATTTTTTGGAAATCATGTGCCGAAAGTCAAAGACACCATCCTCGACAAGTCATGTGGGCGGGACAGCTGACAACCTTGCCTTCTTCACTGGCACTTCATTCGTCTTCGACTATTTAGAGCCTCGCACGATTGTATTCTGTCTCTGCCCAGCCCCGCCCAGATGTCCATCGCGGACTGCGTCCTTCCTATGCAAAATAGCGAAGTATTATAAAAGCTGATCAAAGCTGACTCGCGGATGCGCCATACACCCGAGTGTTGGGAGAAATCGCAATTGCTTGAATGCGAACGACCACGTACAGCTGATATCGCAGTCCGGAGGGGTGGTGTGAGGGTGTGTAGAATGAGCCCACCCGCGGCATTTTCAGCCACTGACTGGTTCCTTCCTCAAGAGACTCTTAGGTTAGAACACGCAGCGGTTCAGGCGGCTGTTGCCGCTTCTCCTGATAACACCTCACCAACCATATGCGGAGACCAGCTCATGTACCCGTCAGTGTTGTCATCCTCCCAGAAGATCCGTGTGCCAACTTAATGCACCCTCAAGAGGTGTCTTGATTGACCATTGGGGTCAACCTATGCGCTATAGCAAGGGATGTTAATCTACAATGGGCAGCGGTTCGGTATAGCCCAGTTTTTTCCTCCCTTGCTATAAGAAAAGAGTATTCTGTCGAAAAGCCAGCCCTGCTTTATTGGCCTACGCGGGACTCGTTCTTCGAGACATCACCGTCATCGCGACGCCTCTTCTCACTGCTTCACCTCCGCCTAATAGTTCAACAACATTTAGCTATTCAGGAAGATCAAACGGGGAAGCGATTCAAGCCAGCGTTACCGGCCTACCAAAGCCGAGAATTAGCGTTTTCGCACGCTACAAGCTTAGCCGTCTTCCGTTCGCGCATTCCTTTGTTCAAATAGTTCTTATCACTAGAGGTACTAAATGAGAGCGATTCTCACGCTTCTTGGTCTTGAATGATGAACGCGTCCATAGTTCTCCTCACCAGGAACTTAAGACCGGTTTCGTATTACCCACCTATGTCGAACAGAACTAATGCTGCTTATCATAAAAAGTTCATAAAGGAAACAGCACTCGAACTAACCTAACAAGGCCACTATCACGATTGGTTTGCTGGTCTTCTCCTCCATCTGAACTGCGTAGGGAGGAGCGTGCCGAGCTATAGCCAGTCGATGACGAAACAAACGACAATCGGGCAGGATCCTGAAAAACCCCATCAAATCATCTCAACATTACAATAGAAGTAGAAATATAGTTGGTGGTGGGAGAAGGCACCAAGCGGCCCGTAACTGGTCAGTGGAGAATAGTACGTCATATTAATCCTGGAGGAAATTTTTCTGATTAATGATGTTGCCCTTTCCAGCACCCCTTCCACTCCTCCTCCCCCCCCTTGTAGTCGGAAATGTCCAAGCTACCAACTCTGTTAGTTGAATGAAAGTGTCTATTCCCCCAATGAACCCAATGCCAGGACGTGCCCTCAGTTTTGTAGTAATTTTTCTTTCTTCTAATGACCATTTCTTTTTCTAATTGAAGATACAACAAGACAGAAGGTGCCCTTCTAATCTACATATTTGTAGTGTTGCCCCCCCCCCTCCCCCTTGAGCATCCAGAATACTTGGAAAAACCTACATAAAACAGAAAACAGAATAGAATCTCAAAAAGGAGGGCTTTTATCCAAGGAGTTCATCGTTCAAAGGTGACACCTTTCCCATCCCCAGAGATAAAAGCGGAACAGATCGACGATAAGCCGAAAGGTTCAGGTCTACTTCCCAAAAAAACCTCGGAAACAAGAGGAGGGAACTAGTAAGTTCTCAGTGGAATCCCTGCCAGTTCTTGAAATTT